GTCTCCTAATGAGTGTCTACTCCCCCATCTCTAATTCCTTTCAGGGAATTTCTGTTTAGATGTACCACTGTCATCCACTATGCCATCAACTCCCAGCTATATATAGCAGAGTGGAAAGAATAATGGTCTGAACAAAAAAAAAAAGAACATAAACTCCTTGAGAGCAAAGACTGTCTTGCTACTGCATTTGCATTTCCACTGCTTAGTACTTTCCCTAACACATGGTGGCCAAAAAAGATATGTTTTTTCATTCATTTCATTAAGATCAAGAAGTGTGAGGAATAGGAAGAAAATGACAAACTTTATAAAATAGCTCAATATTAAAAAAGGTAGAAAAAGGACAGAGAACAGACTAAAACTTACTATATGAGAAAAAAACTACAGAGTTGTACATGATTGGCAAATCAAAAAAAAATTTAAAAACTCTAATAGAAACTCAGAGGAAGTTATTATGGATGCTATGTGTTGACATTCAAATGTAAATAGTTGTAAAGCAACTTTAATTGGTATTGTTGATGTGGAACGTTAAATTTGTAACAAATCATTTAAAATGAATGAGTGAATACACACATAAGTACATGTTGACAATTTTTCTTCCCCAAATAGTGGCCAATTTCAGTAGCAAAATAAAATTTCATTAAAAAAAAGAAAAGAATAATGGTCCGTCAGGCGATCTAGCTTTGAATTTCAGCTCTGCCTCTACCTGACTAGATTACCTCAGGAAAATTATTCCATACCTCTGGACCTCAGGCTCCTCATACAAAACATGAGAGAGTCACACTGGATGATTTCCAAATTCCTTCCAATGATAAAGTTACATATTCTTCCCTTTCTAGAGATGGTCTCTATTTGCTGCCATAGAGGCAGTTACCTTCCATATTTCTTTTTTTTTGGTGAGGTAATCAGGGTTAAGTGACTTGCCCAGGATCACACAGCCAGAAGTGTCAAGTGTCTAAGGCTGGATTTGAACTCAGGTTCTCCCGACTCCAATTCTGGAGCTCTATCTACTGCACCACCAAGCTGCTCCAACTTTCCATATTTCAGAGAAATAATTGTTAGCTGCAGCAATCATATATCCTCTTAGGCCAGAAAAGTTGAACAGAATCATAATCTCATACATCCCCTAAGGAACCAGACTTTATAGGTAAACTAAATAAAGTTACAGATTAAACCACTTTTAGACGGTTCACAATGGGGCAGATGGAGAGGAGGAATTTATATGCCTCAAAGATAGCTAATTAAGCCTGTTTACATAATTCTCAATTATATTGTGCTAAGCCTGGAAGAACACTGGGGAAGTTTAAATTACTATTATGCAACTTCAATGCCTCTTCCACCTCCAGGTTTCCATATTTTAAAAGGAATATCCCACACTTTCATGACATCATTCAGAATTTTGAAAATTTAGCATAAGATGGTACCTTAGAGCTTTGATGTCAAACAGGAGGCCTGTGGGCCTGACTGCCATACTCCAGAGTACAGCCTGAATCAGATTAAAATGTAATTGGGAAATATTTTAACAAAATATAGAAAACATTACATTTTAAATACGTCAGTATGTTGAGGTTTAAGGGGTGTAGTGGTGCTGGGACCCTGAAATAGCAAGAGCAAGAAAAGCAGGTCCAGCCCGAATAAATTCGACCAAAGCTTTTTTTTTTTTTTTAAGCAATTGGGGTTAAGTGACTTGCCCAGGGTCACACTGCTAGTAAGTGTCAAGTGTTTGGTCTGAGGTTGAATTTGAACTCAGGTCCTCCCGACTTCGGGACCCACCGGTGTTCTAGCCACTGCGTCACCTACCAGCCCCCCAAGCCTTCTTTCAACCAAAGACAAGGTTTATTAAAACATCTATTGGGGTGGGAGAGATTTTAAGAATCCACCATATTGGCCAGACTCTTAAGGAATCTAAGCATTTGTATCTCTAATGCAAGTGGGACAGATTAAATCTCAGCCACTGGCTAAATTTTAAGAATCTGAGAACCTTAATGGAGGCAGGATGGATCTTATATACAGAAAGACTGTAGGAGTGGCCAAGTAGTCTAGGGTGACTGTGAGGAGGGGTCTAGGGAGAATCTAGATGGGAGTAGCCAGTAAGATGGGGTGACTGGGAGGTATAACTCCAGTGACCTGGACCACATGGGAAGGGAAACTGGGGTCTAGATAGGATCTAAGAGTGGAGGTCTAGGGTTGGGCCAGGTGCATACAATGAAAGGGCAGTTATTTAATTGGGAAGGGCCAATTCACCCAGTGGAAGGCCATGGCCCTGAGCCACATGGGAAAGTCCAGGGCTTTTTCTTTTTGGGGTCCAGATCCCAAAGACATGGTCTTTTCCCTTTAGGGGTTCAGATCCTATTCCCATCAAATACATAGTCTACAGGGATCCTTATGTATGGATTAGTGGCCCCCATTTCTGAGCCTGACACCACTATCTTAAGGACATCTAATTTCAGTGCTTTCTCTCTTTTAATTTCCTATTTATCCTGTACATGCCATGCTTTGTATGTATTTGTATGTTGTCTCCCTCATTAGATAATAAACTTTAGCAGGGGCTGTCTTTTGCCTCTTTTTGTATCCCCAATTTAGAACAATGTCTGAAACATAGTAAGTGTTTAAAAATGCTTGTTGATTGATTGATTAATCTAGTCCAAACCTTTCTTGCTTGCAGGTAACACATTCAAAGAAAGAGGCTTTCTTTGGCTGTATTCTACTCTCACTATTCTTCCCCCCACCAAAATTCCTTGTTCTTCGGCTGGACAGACCAAAAAGCAATATGATGTAATGGAGGTACAGAAAAATTAAGTGATTTTCTTAGTCACAGTGTTAATGACAGATTAGAATCTGGATTAGAATCCAAGTTCTTGAATTGTAGTGATGGGGTATGGGCCCTAGCCAAGACCTTTGCCCCTCCCCCCAAAAGAAACCTCTAGACCTCATGAGTAGGACTGTAACCTACACAAAAACTGCTGCTACACATCATTAGCAACGTCCTTCGGTAAAGTTGAGGTGGGTTGCGCAATTTCAGCTCCAGTCGAAGGGTTTTGGAATCTTTGGAGCTAAATAAAAGAGCCCTGGATTTAGAGTCCAAAGACCTCCTCCTGGCTCTGCCACTGAGTGTGTCACCTTGGGGAAAGTGATAATACCTTTGGGGTCTCATTTTGCTCATCTGTAAAATGTAGGGGTTGGGCTAGGTCGTCTCTCTTCCTGCCCTAAACTGTGATGCTAAATCAAAATAGAGGATTTTAATGTGAAGGTTTTTCCCCTTATTCAGAGGTAGGGGAAGTAAAGTCAGTATCTCAGTAGCTTTCATGTTCTTTTTTCTAGGGGGTCGTTATGAAGCGAAGAAACAGGGAGGTTAAAAAGGAGCTCATGAGTGCATGTGTTTTGCCGCAGCTTACTATGTCATAACCTGCTCCAAAGCCAAACAAGATGGTTGCTATGGAAGCCCCACCAGTTGTCTCCCACTCTCACTCCCCACTTCCTTCTTTCTCGTCCTTGTCCTCTGGACAGCGGACCGAAAGGCAAGCAGCAGGCAAGGGGCAGTGCCATGGGAGAGCTGCTGGTGGGGGGCGGGGGGGAACCATGTGCATCATGAGCTTGGGGACGTCCCTCCTGCAGGGTCGGTGAGCAGCGGAGACGCAGCCCTCCCTGCTTTCGCCTCTTTCCTTGCCTCTACTGCAGCGGCAGAAGCGGCCAGAGAAGAAGGAACAGCAGCCCAGCTCTGGGCCACGTCTCCGCAGAGAAGTGACAGGAGGGGAGCGCCCGTACCATCACCCCTACTCCCGGCCTCCTAAGTCAGTGTCTTCGGCTGCAGGGGCAGAAGAGCTGAGGCTGCCGGGGGCGGCATCAGGGCAGGGAAGGGTGGTGGAGGATGCGGAGAAGGCAATGGGAAGGGGCCATAGGAGAATGGAGGTGGGGGGAGGATGGAGAATGGGGGATGATGGAGGAGGAGGAAGAGGTGGCTGGGGAGGGTGGGAAAAAGCTACTACCAGAAAAAGGGGGGGGTTGGAGGAAGATCGTGAGCCCGGGGAGAACGTGGGATAAAAGGACTGAGGGAGGACTTTGTAGGGAGGGGGTGGGAAGAGAGAGAGCTGGAAGAGAGAATGGGGGAGGAGGAGGAGGAGGAGCAGCAGCAGGAGCCGCAGCCGGAGGAGGAGGAGGAGGAGCGGCGGCCACGCTAATTAGCCAGGTACCAGGCGGGGCACGAGTGGCTCCCGGGCTCGGTGGCCCACAGCCCCCGGGGCAGGGGTAGGGGCAAGGGGCAAGCCGGGGGCGGGGAGGAGGAGGAGAAAACAAGGGGGAGAAGAGCCGAAGCGAGCACGTCCCTCCTCCCCTGGGGCGGCCGGGGCTTTGCCCCCTGCAGGGCAGCGTGGGGGGAGGGTGGCTTCCGCCCAGAGAGGCGGGGACTGTACCGGAGAGCCGGCCACCTCGGTTTCCCGGCGCCCCCTACCCAAAGAGAGGGAGGCCACGCGAAAACGAAAGTGAAACCCTTCCTTCCGCTCCCCCCCTTCTGTCTCCGCTCCCCAGGCCGGGCCGGGTCGGGCCGAGCCCCGCGGACCAAACTAGCCGCCGAGCAGCCCAGGTAAGGCCAGGCCGCGAGGGCCTATTCTTCCTCCTCGCCCCCCTCCCGCGGGGTCCGGACCCGGCTTGGAGGCTGGGGGAGGGGCGGGGTGGATCCCCGGGCTGGGCCCCTCCCCCCGCCGGCTGGGGAGGTGCCTGTGTTTATATGGGGTGGGGGGAGGGGTTCCCGGCGGGGGATGGGAGGGGGGAGAGGTCACGTCCTCATCATAATCATCCGCCCCAGCAACTGACATGGGTGAAGTGGCAGTGACTGCTGCGCCCGCCCCCTCCCCCTCGGCTCCTTCCCTAGGGTCCACCTCTTCTTCCTCCTCCTCCTCCTCCTCCTCCTTTCCCCCTTCCCCGCCCCCCCTTCCTGGTGCGAGCCGCTTCCTGACGCCGCCGCCGCCGCTTCCCTCTCCCCCTCCCCCCTCCTCCCGTGCGCGCAGGGAGCCAGGCCCCGGGCCGCCGCAGTCGCCATCGCCGCCTCCCGCCAGCCCCGCACCATGGCTGAGACGCTCTCCACCGCCACGTCCTACACCGAAGACGACTTCTACTGCCCAGTCTGTCAGGAGGTGTTCAAGACCCCAGTGCGAACCGCGGCCTGTCAGCACGTGTAAGTAACTGTGCGCCACGAGCTCCTCCCCCTCCTCCCCGGGCCCCCACTCCGAGCCGCGGGGCCGGGGCCGGAGCCGGAGCGCACCCACCGGTGCGATCCCGGGGCAGCTCGCGGCGTGGAAGGAAGCGACCGGAAGCCCGGCCCGCGTTCCTCAGGCCCGGCCCCCCCCGTCTTAGCGGGAGCCCCCCCCACCCGGCCTCGAGGGTCCCCTCACCTCCCTATTCCCCCCCCCAGGTCCCCGGGGCTGTCGGACCCCAGGCTCCCGGATCCAGGCCTGCAGGCTGGCTTCCCCTGCCCAGTCCTGCAGAGAGGAAGTGGGGAAATGGGGGCGGGGGGAGGCGGTGTTGGGGTTGCTCCCAAAGCTTATTTGGGGCTACATTTGGATCTCAATTAGAGGCAGTGGTGCAGGGGCTGTTGTGATATCTCCCTCCTCTCATTCTCACGAAATTGGGGGGCAGGGTCCCAAGGGCACCCAGATTTCCCTCTCGTCCCTCCGAGATTTTGCCCTCACACGGGGTTACTTAGAGTCTAGGGCCCCCAAAACCACCTTTTTGGATTTACTGTTTTTGCCCTTCTTTGTATCACCAGCTCTTAGTGATACATAGTAGGTTTTCAATAAATGTTTGTTGTATTGACTTAAAGGCCCTCTTCCGTGTCTGATTGGTGTGGCGTGGTCTCTTTAATTAGGTTGGAGGGTATGGTAATTTTTTCATTCTTCAAACGAAAAAAGTGATAGTATTTCCGTTTCCTAGGGTTGTGGTAGCATTTTTTTCCCCTTTGCTTCCAACCCCTTCGGTTTCCATTTTGTTTTGTTTGTAAAGTGAGGGTGAGAGAAAGAACGCAGCTGTTTCTGGAAGGGTTTGGAGAATGTGACCTTAGGGGATTTAAGTCTTTTAAGAAGCATTTATTTGGAGCTTTTTAAGTTGGAGGTGGTGTACTGTTTTCTGGGAGTGAATATTCAAGTGAGGCAGCTCGTGCCCTGTTGGAGCTTTTATTCAGCTTAAGGACCCAGGAGCTTTGAGTGAAGAATTAATTTTGAAGCAAAGTATGGGATTGAAAACAACTAGATCTTAAGGTTTAGAGTTGGAAGGAATCTTTAGAACATATCTAGTTCCTCCTTCCTCTCTCCCCCATTTATAACAGGAAACTGAGGCCCAGGAAGGTTGTGACTTGTGATCATACAGATAGTAAGAAGCAGAGCATGGATCCAAATCGAGGTTAATTCCAAATCCATGCGTCTAGTTATATGGACCAAAATTACTTAAGCTTCCTGGGCCTCCATTTTCCTCATTTGGAAAATAAGAGGGTTGTTCTAGATGTTCTTTGAGGTTGCTTCCAGTTCTGGAGCTATGATTCTACTCTCTATGTCCTTGATTTTTTTCCTTTGGGAAAAAATCTAAGCCTTCGGGAAGGGTCTCTGATATCATTGTGGGGACAAATGCATATAGTCAACAGTTTTTCTGTAATTCAGTCTTAGAGCTGTAAGGATGAAAATATTGAGATAGTAAAGAAAGGAACATGGATGGCAGAGTAGAAGAATTAACTTCATTTAATAGCTTTTTTTTATCAACAAAAAACAGTCCAAAGATCCTTAAAAAAAAAAAAAAATTCACCCCTATCTTAGACAACATTAGTTCAAGGGTTCTTAATCCGAGGTTGTGAACTTGAGACTTGATTTGCTTTATAATCCTGTGTACCAATATTATTCTGAGATTGGGTGTTCACAGGTTTCACCTTCCAAAGGGAATCCATGACACAAAAAAGTTAAGAACTTCTTGCCTAGTGGATTTTGTTGGTTCTGGAATCTGGTAGACCTTGGTGCACCAGAGACTTAAGTGTCTTTGGGTTAGTCACTTAAGCTTTGAGCCTGTGGCAACTCTGAGATATAAATAGGTTTTTGTTGCATCTCTTCCCACACATTGAAGTCAGTGATCTGACCACCTCTGCTTCCCAGGGGCTAGGAGGCCCATTCTGAGGATTTGCAGTGCTAAGAAACAATCTTGTTTCAGTTTCATTAAAATGGAATTCCCATTAAGAGGAATGTCTTGGTTACTGATAATTTGGTTTAAGCATCTCTAAGTAAACGTTTTGAAAAGAAAAAAATACAGTCATGTATACAGTACAGTTTTATTTCTACTACTGTTTTCAAACATGAAATTTTAATTTTTTTCTGTTAATATCTCCTTATATTTCCATTTTCTCTTAGGTATTTACACTTTCATAATTTTACAAAGACTTGGAAACAAAGCAGCTAATTGGTTTTATTCTTTAGCAGTAGGCTTTTATTTTGTTTGTTTTAATTTTTAATGTTATTTTTTTATTCTCCTTATCTTTTTTTATCTTATCTTTATATCACATTCATTTCTCCTTCTCCCTTGTACCCAGTGAGCTGTCCCTTTAACAAAACAGTTTGGAAGAAAAAAAAAACATTCAGCAGAACTAACTATAATATATCGAATGTGTTTGACAATATTTACATTTTATATCCATAGTCTCTTCCACCTCAGCAATGAATGGGGAAGGAGATTAAGTTTACAATTTCATGATGTATGAATTTTGCCTATAATATAGGCGTTGATGTTCTGTCACAACAGATTTTAAATAGGATTCTGTTTGTACACACTTCTCAACACAAGTTTTTTAATGGTTGCTTATTTACCCTGCTGAGATTACTGAACCCTTTAAATTTTCATAGCTTCAAAAGTTCACAGCCTTACTTTCACCCATTTTGCTTTTTATGAGAAGTGTAACCTCCATATACTGAGCTCCTTTAAGTTTTTTCTTGGCCTTTCTGAAGAAGTATGATGCTATAATTTGCCTTTTTTTTTTTTTTTTTTGGCTTTTTGGTGAGGCAATCGGGTTAAGTGACTTGCCCAGGGTCACACAGCTAGTGTCATGTGTCTGAGACCAGATTTGAACTCAGGTTCTCTTGACTCCAAGGCCAGAGCTTTATCTGCAGCGCCACCTAGCTGCTCCATATAATTTGCTTTAAAGACATAATATTCAGTCTTAGGATATAGGAAGATAAAGAATACAAGACTTATTTTTTATTTAGTTTACATATTTAGATTTTTTCAGAACTTAACCCATTAAAATGAACATTTAAATATACATAGTAGAACCAAAAGGATTGTGCATAAAAGTACAAATCTATTGTATATGGCTACCTTTCTCTTTTTAAATGTATAATATATTCAACATGTAACTTTCAAGGCTGTCCTACTTGTCCATGATTCCTTCAATTCTCTCTTTTTTGGGGGGGAGGATCCCTATCTCTAACCCTATTTTGTCTCTTAAAGTGAAAGAAAATTAAAAAAACAAAGCCTTTTGTAACAGATGTGAATAGTTAAGCAAAACAAATTTCCACATGGCCATATTTTAAAATTTATGTTTTGTTCTGTATTTTGAATACTTTACCATTCTGGATAGGTTAGCAAGCTTCATTATCAGCCCTCTGGATATTATGTCGTGTTTTATGATTGTTCAAGTCTTTCAAAGTTATTTGTCTTTAAATATTATTATTGTATAAATTGTTCTGGTTCTTCTCACTTCAATTAGCATCAGTTCATGCAAATCTTCCCAGGTGTCTCAAACCATTTCTTTTCCTCCTTTTTTATAGAGCAATATTCTATTACATTCATAAACCAAAATTTGTTCATCTATTCCTCAACTGATGGGTTTCCCTTCAGTTTCCAGTTATTTACCACTACAAAAAGGGCTATTATAAATATTTTTGTACACATGGTTTCTTTTTATCTTTCTTTGATATTTTCGAGTTATAGGTCTAGTTGTTGTATCCCTGGGTCAAAGAATAGGTATACAGTTTTGTGACTTTGGGCAAAGTTCCAAATTTTTTTGCAGGATAACTCCACAAACAGTGTATTAAGTATGCTTATTTTCCCTCAGGCTTTCTAATTGCCATTTTTCTTTTTTGCCATCTTTACCAATCTGATGGGTATGAGGAAGAACCCTAGTTTTAATTTGCATTCCTATATTAGTGATTTAGAGCACTTCTTTGTTGTGATTGTTGACAACTTGGATTTCTTCCTTTCAAAATCACCTGTTTATTTCCTTTGACTATGTATAGGGGAATAGCTCTTGTTCTTAGAAGTTTGAATCAGTTTCTTAGATAAGCCATTGAAACTTCCTGCAAAGATTTTTTTCCTCAATTACCTGTTTCTTTGCTAATTTTAACTGCATTGGTTTTGTTTGTGCAGAATCTTTAATTTTAATGTAATCAAAATTGTCCATTTTTTCCTTCTGTAATCGTCTCTATCCCCTATTTCATTATGAACCTTTTCTCTATGCATAGTCAGTCAACAAGCATTTATTAATTGCTTACCATGTGCCAGGAGCTGTGTTAAGCTCCGGGGATACAAAGACAGTCCTTGCCATGGCACTCACAGTCTAATAGGGGAGTTGGGAAAGGGATTTGAATTGCTTCTCCAATTTATTTGTGATATGACTTTGTCATATATTCATTTGGGGTTCATTTTGTTGGAGATGTTTTAAGTCTACTAGGGGTTCTTCACCTGGTGCCCATTTTTTTTTTATGATTTTGATAACTATTTTAATATTGGTTTCCTTTGGTAATCAAATGCATTTTATTTTATACGTTTAAAAACCTTTTGAGAAGGGGTCCATAGGTCTTACCAGACTGATAAAGGGGTCCATGACACAAAAGGGTATTTTGGTCTGTATCAAATTTCTGCCAAACTGCTTACCAGTTTCCCTAGCAGTTTTTGTCAAATTATAAGTCCTTATCCCAGTAGTTGGGGTCTTTGGGCTTAATCATACACTAGGCTACTGTGTTCATTTGGTTTTGTATGTTGTGTTCAACAATGTTTTTTGAACTTTTCCATTTTTAAACCAGTTTTAATGATATGTTGCTTTGTAGTTTAGTTTGAGAATTGGGTATTGTTAGGCTCCACTTTTTTTCTCTTGAAATAGTTGACCTTTTGTTTCTCAAGATGAACTGTTAACTTTTTTCTTAGTGC